TTTTTTTTTTTTTTTTTTTTTTTTTTTCTTTTTTTTTTTTTACGGAGACCCATTTAATAAGGCACAATTTCTGCCTGAGAAGGCACTAAATTATCATTTTCTATACTTGTACATATAGTTGATCGTATTGCATACACATAAACCACGCAAAAGGACAGAGATCAATTTGAAGCGAGTTATACAACTAAACGAAGATTATTGTGCACCAAGATTTGTACAAATTCGTTATCTCTCATTGATACGAGTCGTATCGTCAAAAAAAAAAAAAAAAAAAAATTCATTTCTTCTAAATATAATTCTATTTCTCTTATATTATATTATTCATTCACATTATATCCTTTCCTTTTCTCCAATTCTATCTTATTATTTTTCCCACCTTACTTTGTCTCGCTCTCGATTAATCCGAACGTCGATAGAATTTTTTAAAAAAATGGATATACATGGATACACGGCGTTGCATGAACGGGGTGGTTAAAGTTATCTCTAAAAAATATCGATCGTATAAAAAAAAAAAAAATTTTTTTTCCCATCCTTTCTTGTTTGACAAAAATAAAAAGATGGCGCGCAATCGCGCTGGAATAAAATTATTTTTTTTTTTTTTTTTTTTCATTACAAACTATTCTCTCGTTTCGACTAAAAATTTGAAAAATATCTCGTATTATGCACTTAGAAAAATTCCTATATAAACAATAGTTATTTACTCTATATTCGTTATTCGTTTGTTTCTTTCTTTTTTCTTTTCTTTTCTTTTCTTTTCTTTTCTTTCATTTTTTTTTTTTTAATGATATTTTTTTTTTTTCTTTCTTTCTTTTTTATGATAAAATAATCGTGAGAATATCACCAGAAATTTCGCGACGATCGGTTAGACAGTCGTGTCCAGATTGCTTCTACTTCCTCCCGAGTGTATGAAATCTACGTCCATTTCCGAATACTGGCGCAATTCCGATGTGAATGCCGCACCGTTGTCCTCTCGCAACTCTCCGAAAATTCTTACGTTCGATGTGTTCGCGTGTGTCTCGAGACAGGAGGCTGAGGTCGTTCGAAAGTGACCCGAGTCTTCGATCGTTTCCCTTCCGTTGAAAAACGTTGACCGTGCAGATTTCAACTGTGGTTGGGACGTTCCGACATTAACATCGCTACTTAAACGACGTTTATATCGTAGATTTGTCAGTGTCTTCAACACTGTTGACGAAGCCTTTTCTCGTTGCTGCGCCCTACGAGGGAAACGTTCAGGGATGGTGATGACAGAACAGAAAGAGGAAGATGGACCAGCTAGTATCCATTTTCCATTTTTCATATTTTTTTTTTCTTTTTTTTTCTTTTTTTTTTTTTTTTTTTTTTTTTTTCCCTAAAGTTTTTCTTTCTTTATATGGAAAATCATTTCTTTCGTGTCTAAATCCTCCGAACGCACAAAAAAAAAAAAGATATGTAATAATTCTGAGAGATAATAAGCTGTCGACGAGAAAAAGAAAAGGTCGATTCGAATGTTGATCGGGTGGGAAAGGACAGAACTTTTCTTTTCTTTTCTTTTCTTTTTTTTTTTTTTTTTTTTTTTTTTTTTTTTTTTTTTTTCCTTTCACCGTTGTATCACGTATCGTTACTCCTGCGTGTACATACATAGTTTCAACGTTCGAATCACATTCTATTCGTATTCGAGACGAATCAATCGTCTTGTGAAAATAATAATAATAATAATAATAATAATATATATATATAATTATGTATCGTGAAAATGACAAAAGAGTCGTTACTCTACGAGCAAGCATATTTTTCGAAAAACACGAGAAACGAACGTTTATTCGGAATCGATGCTGATTCGTGATATATATCGTGCCCCGTGCTTGCTCGTGGCACGTGTATCGGGATAATGCGCACAGAGAGGCAGAGAATAAAACAGCGTAACGTGGATTACGACACCCGTAAGAGGTATACAAAATTTGAAAAGCGAACGAAAATAATTCTTTCGTGTTCATGCACCGTTTGAACGCCCATGTACGAGTTGCGTCTGACTTGACCCGATCGGGAAGGGAGAGAAAAAAAAGAAAGAGAAAGAAACAAGTGGGAGAAGATCGACCAAGAATTCGAAACGCGATGGAATAAGCAAACTTAAAATATCGAAAATGGAGAAATTAAAAAAAAAAAAAAAAAATATATATTTATACATATATAACTTTCTCACGGAAGAATTCATCCATAGCATTTTTTTTTTTTTAGGATCAATCGCGTGTGATACAATAGCGAAACAAAATATGATCAATATGATGATTCGCGATTGTTGAACCGCCAATCGATGCCAAAGTCAGAATTCAGACAATTAGAAATAAATCGACGTTCAATCAATCGATAGCAAAGTCGCGAAATTTAAGAAAGAGGAAAGAGAGAGAGAGAGAGAGAGAAAAAAAAAAGAAAGAAAGAAAGAAGGATGAAACAAAAATATATATATATTATCGGCGCGCATATATTTTCCTTCTCGTCAACGTCCCTTCTAATTTAAGAACATTCGGAGACGAGAGCGGCCCCCCTCTCGCGTAAAGAGAACTCCAAAAGCGATATTCTCTTATCTACAATCATCATCATTTCTCCTATTCTCTTTCTTTTTCCTTATCTTTTTTTTTTTTCTTTTAATCGTTTAACCCATTATTGTTCCTTTCGTTATTTTTCTTTTCCTTTTCTTCTTTTCTTTTTCTTTACCTCCCGGTTCGAACGTTCAACGAACAATCTGATCGCGGTTCCCCCTACGAAACAAAGTGACGAGTGTGCCACGTAGCTAAACCGACAGTGAGGTTTCGAGGTTCGAAATGTAAGCATCTATTTGGTAGGACGAGCGATCGGAGTTTACAGGGAATCGAGATTAAGGATATGGGTACGGATGGTAAAATATTTGGTTACAACTCCATGTCCTGCGCCTCGTCCTCGCTGAAGTCGCTCATCGAAGACTCGCTATCGGACGACACTCCGTTTTCGGTACCGCAGTTCTCCTGGTCCCTTAGCGCCTCCTCCGTCGCGTATTTCCTCACGTAATCTGTCAAGAAATCAAGAAGGAAATTGCATCCTCGAACTAATATTCACACGTATGTGGGACACGTGCTCGTCCACTTCGTTCGTAACGCTTGGAAAATAAACCGTTCAAATCGATTCGAGAACTTAAAAAAAAAATAT